TGTACAATTTGGGAGAAGAAAAGACTAAAATAAGCATTGGAAAGATTGAAAATAGCTTGGTGACAATGATATGTCTTTTTCTTTCTCTGTTCCCCAGAGTCCTTGGCCCCAATTATAACCTTGCCCAGAGAAGCACTTAGTGATTTTGTTTAATGTATTATTGTTAGTATGGAAGAGAAGTTGCCTTGTGAAGCAGTTTAATTTTTGTATGTAAATGTAAGATACATGTGTACGATGATAGGCAACTCAAATGTGGTTCTTTGTGAACAAGCTGATGATTTTTTGTGAATGGAGATGATAATTATCCTTGATAACATAAACAAAACATAACCAAAGCCCTTTTGCATAATATGGGGTTAAATGGTTGTATTTTCTTCCCACAGAGGTTTTGTTTGTTAGCTGGCTTTTGTCTTATTTTGCAGGATATCATTGAGCTACATTTACCAGCATAGGAAGCAGGAGCAGTGTACTTTTGTGTTCTCAGGAAGAGGCTCTCACCCACATTTATGGAGCCCGGGGCTCTTAGGAAGTGCCTCAGGAGTATGGGAAGGGGAAGAAGGGGTGTGGTTCCTTACTTCTTGCAGTTTCCACCTTGGGCAGCTCCTATTCTATTGATTTTGCAAATGGGGTTCATGTAAGAGTTGGCTTACGGACAGATTCCAGTGTTCATAAAACATTTGAAAACCACAAGCTGCTCCTGTCTGAGTTCGCTGTCCCTCAGGGCTGAAGTTGCAGTTAGAGACCCAGCCTGTCCACACTTCCTGTCTGGGCGATGGAGAAGAGGCTGTGCAGGTGTGGAGTGAGCCGTGTGGTGCGGGGCAGGAGAACCAGTGCCCTGTGTCACCCTCTGTCACGCTCCAGCCATAGCTGAAGAGTGTTCTCATTCAGAGCTGCCCTTTTTCCTGGTGAGGACAGAGAACGCACCACCTGGAGAATCTCTGGACCAGAAACTCCCTATTTTAAAGCCAAAAAATGAACCAGTCTGAGAGGGAATTTCACAGAGAAAATTTTACTTTGATTTTTGTTTTCAAAGTGTGTGTGTGTGTAATAACACATGAGGATATGAGGCATAAGGATCCAAGGTGGCCAGGTGATTGATCAATTGATGAGAAAAAAGCCACTGAAGACTGAAGAATTCATATTAACAAGTGATTATTGCAAAGCAAATGTGCAAAGCAGTGTGCGAAAATAATTTATGAAAATATCTGGAGGCTAGGTCAGTGTTGTTTCAATAGATAATTAATGGTGAATAATTAATACAATATTTTAAAGTAAAATGCTATAATCATATGAGCAGTGAAATGTCACCTGGTTAATGCCCAAGAGTAAAGGTCAAGTCCAGTCCCTGGCCTGTTTCATATGACCCACAGCTAAGAATGGTTTTCCACATTCAAATGTGGCCAAGATGTCCACCAAAGAGCAATTAACTAGGTGGCCTTGGGAGTGAGGCCAGAATTAGTGAGTCATTTGTCTTCTTCACCAACTCTAGCAGCACAGACAGTGATGTGTGGCAGTCCCACTTTGTCTGAAAGAGGGGTGAACTCTGGAAAGCTTAACCCCCCTTTGGTGGTGGAGAGCTTTCCTTGAATATATTGGAGCTTCATAAAATCTTTCCCAAGTCCCTGCAACACTAACATTAGATGACCCCCCCCCCCACCCCTCAGCACTGGCTAATGGAAAATTCCAGCAGGAGGAGGTGACAAAACTGAACAGGAAGGGAATGGGTGTCCACATCACAATCATGGCCCTCAAGAAGGGAGAGAGGACCTTGAGGGCCAAGGCCTAGAGTGCTGTGGAGATGCACGCCCATCTCCTTGGCTTCCTGTGAAACTTAAGGCTTCTTGACTTGCTGGGCCAGAGAAAGATGAGCTGAGACCTGTGGTAGGCCAAATTCTCGGGAGTAGTTCAGCATTACTTTCTGTTGACTGGGACTTGGAATACTGTTCGATTCAGTCTGTGTCTCTGCCTACAATGGACAACTTTTCTCAGAGAGCTTTGCCATGCCCTCTTTGTTGGGAACAGGGCTGAGGGCTGGGGAGAGAGAATAGTAGGACATCAGTCCAAGCCATTAATAACCCCTTTCCTCCTAAACTTTCTACCCTTAAGAGTGAATTGACTGGGGTTTCCAGAGGGCTTTTGGCCATCAGCACTACAATTAGGAAGCAGAAAAACCTAACCAACAAAAACACATCTAAACCACAGACAAAATTACCACTCTGTTATAGCCCATCCAAAAAAAAGACCATCCAGCCAGAATTGATTCTGGCTCATGACCAGCCCAGGCTTTCTGAGCTCCCCAAAGGCCTAAGAAGATTCCAAGGCCCAGGGGAGGTGCGCACCGCCAGGCCTCATGCAGTGGCGTTTGCCCAGACTGCTCCGAGCTTATGCTGAGAGCCCCAGGATAATTCATAGCACCCCTATTCATTCTCAGAGCATCTCAGTTGGGACCATCAATTATATGGTCTTTAAACAAACAAACAAACAAACTGAAAAGTTGACTCTAGGCTTCAGCGGAGGGTCTGCAAGTTGGCTCTGAAGTCTCACTCTTCCTATAGGTCTCTTCAGCCAGAGTCAGCAAGCTGCAGCCAGCAGGTCAAGCCCAGCCCCTGGCCTGTTCTGCCTGGCCCACAGCTAAGAATAGTGTTTTACATTTTTTAAGTTTTTTATCATCTTTTTAAAGAATACGTGACAGAGATCCTGTGTGGCCTAAAAAGCCTAAAATATTTACTATCTGGCCCTTTCCAGACTAGGTTTCCGACCCCTCTGATTTAGCCCCCTGATCTTGCATTTTTGGGTAGAGGACCAGGATCATTATTAATGTCTTTGGCCCCAAAAGAGTGCTGTGTATCCTCATCCTACCTTTGCCGAATTCAAGTCCAACCGAGGGCCTGATGTTAGGAGGCACATAGGTGTTTGTGGAAGCATGTCACCTACCAGAGAATCCCGTGTGGACACAAAAAGCATCGGTTGAGATTCCCCCCTCTATCTCCTCTCCAAGGGTTGGCGACGGCCAAGGGAGAGGAATGTCTAGAGCCTTCCTGTGCAACAACAGGGCTTCTGTTCTGGCGAAAGGCAGTGCTGAGGCCTCCAATCCTGCCCATCTCCTAGAATGCCCCTGAAGCCATGGCCCCTTTGGTGGCTTCCTACCATCAGTCACATCTTGCTGTCCGATCAGGCCCTTGGATACCCAAATCATTCAATGTTCACTTTTGTGCTGATGTGCACACACATGTATGTATGTGCATGTGTGTGTATGTCCCACACCTTGTTTTTCAAATATTTACTTGAATTAGTTGTCAAATGTTTCAAAGATTTGCATATTTTAAAACCCTGTATCTCCAGCTTCTCCTTCCACGTGGTCTGTGGTCCTTGTACATGCTGAGGAAGCCTTTGCGGGGGACGTGCCTTCTGTGTGTAATGTGTTCACGCCGCCCCTGGGGATCGCATCTGCCGCCTGAAGGCCTTCTTTTCAGAATCACCATTTTAGCCTCAGTACTGTGAGAGTGACTCCACTTGGGAGGACAGTTCCTGGGGTAAAGGAAGAAAGACCCGCGTGGTCCTCGCAGCTTTGTCACTGACTACGTGACTTTAGGAAACACACTCACGGGCTGCATATCTTTACCCGTCAAAAAAATATATATATATCTCTAATATCCCTTCCAGCTTGAACACTGATGGTTTCAGGAAGTCCAAGTTGTCTGGAATGCTCTTCATGCCTGTGATTTTATGAAGAATGCAAATAGTGTACATGGTACTTCTTACAAGTTTATATTTGGAAGCATTTTAAAAATGAGCATGTTGGGCAACTCTCAAAAGTATACAGGGCCCTGCTAGAGCCCCTGGTTACCTCACTCCTGCTAGAGACATTCAAAGCCCCTTCAGTCGTGCAGTTGACAGGGATCTTCAGGGTCAAGGCCAGAACCCAAGCTTCCTGATTCCTAATATCATCCTAGACAGCAGGTCACACTGCTTTTCATGGCTAGCAGTGGATTTACCGAAAACATGAACGTCTCTTACAGGGGTTAGGGAGGAAAAGCACCTAGCGCTGCCTTGCACACGGTAGATAAGCAGTAAACATTCAACTGAATTATTCAAAGAGCTGGATATTTGTTATTCTGGAAACATTGCTCTAGGAAAAGTCTTTTTTGGGTTTTTTTCCCCCCTTTTTACTCCAGACATCTCTGAGATGTCTGTCTCACAAGTCAGAACTATAGAATGATTCTGAAAGCTATACTGAATGAGTCTCAAGTAGACATTCATTAAAAAGTGTTATTTTTTTCCCCTTCCCATTTCTGTGAGGGCAAATTGTGGACAACGTCTGATGGTCTTGGGAAAGTTAGTTCTATACGTAGCTCATTCTTTGCAGCTATTTACTAGGTGCTAAACTTGTGTGCTCCTCTTCTCCACTGCAGATCCACCGCGGCCTTTCCCGTGATGGCGGAGACTGATTTACGGGAAACATCTGGCAATAGTTTACCTTTCCCTCCATTCCACCTTCAGAACTTTGAAATCAAACATGCTGGAAATCTTACTTAGGGTGAATGTCAGATAACCAGTGGAGAAGGGGGTGCCATCAGAAATTGGCAGTTCTTGCGGGTCACAGAGTTTGATAAAGCAGTTAAAAGCTGTGATAGCCACTTACAGCTCTCCCACCTTTGAATCCACTAAGCCAAAAATATGCTTCGATAGGAAGCAACATGCCCATGGATCATTAAAAATAGACTCAGAACAACACTGGCGCTGGTGCTTCTTCCCTAGCTCTTCTTTTCTTGGCTATAATCAGACTTTGCTGCTGTGACAACATAAAAAGCAATTACCCCCCTTCCTCTGTGCCTTACACCTTTGTCAGTTCAGCCATTGATTGTGAGCTATCCCTTTGCAAACCTACGTTCTATATATATGTGGAAACACATTGTTTGAAAATATTTCTCCCCAGCCTCTGACTCCAAGAATAGAGTCAGTTTTAAAATAGGACAGTTTCGGTTTTGTTTTTTTCTACCTTTATTACATTTTTACATTTGAGATACAAACCACTCTCTTACACCACACAAAATACATCCATTCTTTGTGATCTTAAAGTGCATTTCCCCTTTAACTTTGTGTACAAAAATATTTATTCTTAAAAATGTGGACATTTCTTGACAAGGCACTTTTTAGGCATCAGGTGAAGATGGGTCTTCAGTTCTACATTCACACTGAAGGAAAAGTGAAACATTATCATCACAGCAGTGTGTTTCAGAGTCCTCACAGGTCCAGCAATCTCTAGCAACTGATAAAGGCAAAACTGTAAAAACATTCACAGCTTTACAACCTGGGCTGCAACGCTTTACAACCATAAGGAGGAAAAGCCGCCCAGAACCACAGCTATCCATCCTAGTGTCAGATGTGTCCCACTTCTGGAAGTAAAGATCGCTGCCATATTGTCTTTGGATGACCCTGTAAGACCCCATTTACTTCTCCCCAATTTCAGTAATTGTATCAGAAGAGATATAAATAGATCGGGACCTCCTGGAGCAAACAGCCATGAGGCCTACTCTAGCAAACCATATCTAGCTGAGGAATTTTAAAAGAGGAAACCAATGAAAAACAACCAAGTTTTCATTCACTGTCCATGAAGAACCAGAAAATGGGCATTTCTAAAAAGTAAGCAAACAATCACCTTTGGAGCTTATAAACATATATGTAACCCATTTAACATCCAAGTAACTACAAGTGATGCTTGTTTTTAAAAAGCAAATTATACACAAAGATCAAAACCACGCATTTTTTTAGCAGTTTAAAATTTACACCTTTAAAAAATATTGGAAGAGTAATGTTTTGCCACCATTAAAATTAAGTTGTAGAGGAAAATAGAAATGCTACCTTGAATCGGAAATTGCTTTAATTTCTGGAGAACTACATAACTCCACTTTTTTCTCACCAGCTTTCCTTTAACAATACTTAAAAAAGAGAGAGAGAGAAAAGAAACCCACTCAAATGCTTCATCTTTTCCAAGAAACACGGAAAGCTTATTTATTATATATCCTTTTACGGTCCAGCTTATTTATTGCACCTAATTTGCAAATGCTCCCCAGGGCATTTGGGGGAATAAATATGAAACAAAAATGGAGCTGCTTCCCCATTCCTGGACCACTGCCTCCGTGACAGGGGGCTGGGCCTTCTGGGAGCAACTCAGAAAGGACCCCAGGACTGGGGCCATTCGTCAGCATAACCAAGAGCGGTCTGAGGGCCAAACCTATAGGTAGGGCTGCAGAGAAGCCTCCAACTGAGAAGCCTGTCCGTCTCTGAAGTGTGTAGACCTATCTGCTCATGGGGAGCTGTAAAATAAAGAGAGGCTGCATCGAGGCAGTTCCTGAGGCCATCTGATGATATCCTGGGACAGAACTGGGCAAAAAGAGAACGACTCTGTGGTGAAGAGGAGACAGTATTCTTCAGATGCTCCCGCCTCGCTGATTGGCGATGCTGACAGGGAAGTCGGCCAGCCGGATTCTTTAGTAAGAGAAGGGTCTTTGCAAGCGGGTGAGGACTTGCCTGGTGGGGTGAGCGTCCCAGGTGCGCTAGTTGGGGGCTTGCACCCAGTGCCCCCAGCAAAAAAGCTGGGGGAGCTGGGAGTACAGAAGGGTAAGGGGGAGGATTTATGGCTGCTTTAATAGAGATCCTTATCACTGAATTACCCTATTTCAAATTTTGACACAGGAATGTCTTAAGATCACTGTTATGAAAACCATACAGGAGTCACTTGAGGCATTTTTCTTATGAACGTAGAATGATCTCGCCACCTTTAGTCTGGTAACATGTAAACGACAGTGCACCTGTACCTTTCCTGAATCGGAGGTGGAGGGAGGGGACTTTTAAAAAGCAAAATCAATTCATGACCTATAGAAAATCAGTTTCACTTCCATCCACTTTAGATTTACACTATTAAGAATAGTTCTGATCACCAGAACACTGAAAGTGCTCTCTGTGTACTTGATGTAACATGTGCTCAGATAAAACAGAGCTCCCCAATTTCAGCATCAGATAAAGATGTGATTTTCCCATATATTATATTATCATGTAATCCCTCCGTGCTGCCCACCTGGGAGAGGCATAAAAAATAAAGCACTAGATTGCAGACTAGTAACAGCTAGTTTTAGAAACAAGAATTACATCAAACACCACTTAAAGACCATTTAAAAAGTCAAAACATTTTAAAGTTCAAAAAGGAAAAAAAAAAACCACCACCACAAACCTCCAGGAGCCAAGACACTCCATAACTGCCTGACACCGATTTACACGGAAGCTGGAGGTCTTTTCTAATTGATTTGGAAAATGCAAGCCAAAGAAGACTCTTTGCTTGCAGAGTCCAGTAGCTGTGCCCCCCGAATGCAGGCAGCTGTGCATTCTTCTTCCTGCACCTCTTAGGGAAACCCCACTTTAATAAGTCAGGCCAAAGGAAAATAAGACAATTGTTTAACTAATCTCCAAAAAACAAAAACAGAAAAAACCCCAACCTTCTACAAATACACATGTGAAAATATTTTTAAACACCCCCCAAGTACAAACCAGTCTTGCCCACGAAAAATCACAGGGTTTGGGGATTCATCTGACAATGAAAGTTCCAGGAGTCTCATGACAGTATGAACCATAGACCTTTAATTCTTTAGTCCAATGTGGTGAAGAACAATTAATCTCTGACATTTCAGAGTTGGCAAACACTGAAGATAAAAATATGAGAACTTAGTGAGATTTTTCTCCCCTATCCCTTTAAGCATACTCATACCATAAATAAGAACACCCACGTCCAAGTCCCTGGGTGTTTGTAAAGTGTCCTGGATATTGGAAATCACAGTCAGAATGCAAACAGACATTTTCCGAAGGCTTTGAGGATATGCTGGATCTGTAAATCAAGATGTCCTGAACACAGCATAAAAGATGAGTCCCCAGGAAAAGACGTCCCAAATCGTCGCGTGAAGAATGAGATGCCTGCACACCAGCCAAACAAGTTAAAACACCTCTTGTAATTGAGCCTTCAGGTGACTCAGGATAAGAGTGACTGCTTAGAAAGCTTCTTCAAAAGCCAAGAGGAGAAGCTAAAAGTGTCCCACTCGTGACTGTCCTGCCTATCATAAGTCAGCAGCAACTGTAACACTGCACAAGGGCCAGTTACTTTCGATCACTGGTGTGATGTTCCCCGCTGGAACACATATGGGGGGTCAGAAAGAGGCAATGCCTGTCTCACAGGCTGATATGCCTTTATTATCTTTTCCTGAGCATCAGTGAACTGTTGAAGAGAAACGCACAAAAACGCATGGAGATAAAAGTATGAAGTACACGTAGACAAGGAACAGCAGCGACAGGCAGGAAGGACTTGGCTGGGTGGACAACACCCAGAGACAAAGAGCAAGGGCCCAGTCAGTGAAAGGTGGTTGGAGATGGAGTGACATGCAAGTGACTGACTTTCTCCTCCAAGGGAAGAGGACCGGCTCCTCCAGACAGGCCGGGCACCCTCCTGGTTGGGTCGTTATTAAGCCACCATCCTCCAGCCTCGCCAGCACGGCCTGCAGGCCTGGTTCCTGTCCAGAACCTTTCTGGCACCATCCTGCTCAGACCCTGTGGCAGCCACAGGTGCCAAACAGACCAGCACACCACAGCCACCCGGAGTGTGACACTGGTTCTGTGATCTAAGCCTAGCTGGATTTGTTGGTTTAAGAAAAAAGTGAATAGGATCCTTTCTTTTCAAAAGCCGTGCCTAATGGCAGTTCAGCTTTTCTCTTGGCTTCCATCTCCATCCCGTGTGACTACGGCTAGACTTGTCTGCACCCACTCAGCCATGCTGTCACATGCAGTCACTAATAGTAAGGCCCTAGCTTTTCATACCCTAGATAACTAGGCCACTCCGGAAACAGACCATAGGAACACCGAGGGCTTCCAAATTGGTCAAAAGATATTCCAAAATCTGGTCCATTTTGTGACTCAGCTGTTCCCTGAGTGGATTTTAATTCAGCCCGGATGATCCGATAGTTTTTGCCTTTGTTGCTGTCCCAGTATGTCTGGCCATTGCACTCATAGCACACAGCAAACTCCATTCTTTCGTAAGACTGAATTTTCTCAGGCAAGCGAATGTCAAAGGAGAACGTGTCCCTGTCTGAACTAGCGTAAGTGTCCTTCACGTACCAACAGGGAAAGTCTGTGAAGCTTTTCCAAGTGTCAAATGTCATTCTTATTTTCACCATCTTCTCAAACGCGAGGTTCTGCACCTTCACTGTGCCTGCAATGGCTTTGTCCTTCAGCACACAATTTTCAAGGCAGACATGGTCAGTCTGAAGCCTGTTTCTGAAGTCTAAGTAATCTGCAGAAGGCTGAGAAAAATCCAACACAAAGCTCTCACTCTCTGCTGTCGTCAAACTCACAATGTTGTCTAGGAGCTCAGTGATGTTAAATGGAATATCTAATGGGTCATCAAATTCTGAGAACACTTTCACCATTGTCAGGGCCAGCCCTTGGTTGTCTGCGAAGGACACTCGCTTTTTCACCTTTTTCTCCTGGATGGCCGGGGACACCACTCCACTGGCTTCATTCTTGCTGCTCAGCTGAATACAAGGCCTCAGAGGTTTGCTTGGCTTTGGTGAGATCTTGAAGGCGAACCTCTCTCTCCGCAAGGAAGGGGTCATGCAGCTGTATCTGCACTCTATGTCCACAGCCATCGTTGGGTTAGATGAATAGGCTAGAACCCTGGCAAAAGGGGAAAAGAAAGAAACAGCAATGAGATCAGATTGACGTTGATTGACGTTGAAACTCAACAGGGACTGGCAAACAATGCTTTCCTTTTTCTCCGCCCACATGGCTCCGGTTCAGTATTAACTCAAGTGTGGTCCAGAACGACCTTGGTTTCAGGGGAGATTAAGAGTGTAAAGTGGGGGGAAAAAGAAGTGCAAGGTTAAAACAAACAAACAGAAAAGTATGGACCCACTGGTTTTAACATAGGTTTTTCTGTCAGGATTTCTTAGGGCCATAAGTATGCTAATATGCCATGGGGATTAATAAAAGAGCACACTGTTTGCAGAATTTCCCAAACTTATCTGACTAGGGAACCCTTTTTGGGTTTTGTGGAGCATTTTAGAACACATGTTCTGAGGAACATACTTTGGTAAATATTGCTTTAATCTAATACAAAGAAATTAATTCATCCTGTAAATATTGATTGGTGTTTACTATACACCAGGCATTCTGCTAGATGGACACTGAGATTCAATAAGGAAGACAGACACAAACCTGCTTTCATTAAATGTACAGTAGATTTTTACATTCTAGTATATATTTCTTTTAAAAAAATCCAACAATTTATATTTTTAAACTTTTCTGATAGCTGAATATTTGATTTTTCTACAGTGAAAATAGCCTCTGTAGGAATAAATAGCAAAGAGAATCATTCTAAGGATTAAGTTAAATCTGACTTCATAAAAACTGTTTTTCTTAAGTGAAAAAAATAATTAAAACTAAAAGGTTAAAGACAAACGGGAAAAACATTTTACAAAAATCATGACAGCAAAAAGTCAATACCTTAATATACAGTCTTGCAAAACAGTAACCAAGTTGAATATTCCGCATAAAAAATGATCAAAGAGCATGCATAGAAAATTCATGAAAGAAATTTAAAAGTGACCCATAAATATGCAAAACATCCAACTTTATAAGTAAATTAGATTAGAAAATAATGCCTGTTTTTACCTATTGATTTAGGAAAAAATTTTAAAAGATAATACAAATACTTGTATTGGTCCAAATTGGCACAACTTTTCTAAATGTTCTTATCATCTTTGGTTCTAATATCGCATGCAGGTATCCATCTTAAGGCAATAAGTAAAAATGCATGGAGGTTAATGTACTAAAATGTTTAGTGAAATGTTATTCAGTGCAACGTTATGGAGGGGGAAGGGTGAGAAAATAATCTAAATGACCAATAGCAGGTATCTGGTTAAATTAAGTGTACCACATCCATGTGATAAAATTTTATATCATCATCATAACTATTATTTAGTGACATATTTGCATGGCATGAAAAAAATTAATTGTTAATGCAAAAAAAATGGATAGGATAAAATTGTACATAGCGACAAGACTTGTGGGGAAAAATATTATGCGTACGCACGGAAAAAAGACTAGAGACATACTTTAAAACTGTCAAAATATCCAGTTGATGACCTTTCAGGAAATTTCTGTTATCCTGCTTTGTATTTTCTTATATTTTCTAAAATAATGTCCCTTCTATAATCAGAAAAAAAGTGAATCTAAAAAAAAAAGAAAAGGAAACCTCAACTATTTTAGGATTTGCCAAAAACACATCCAACATGATTGCCTCACTAAAGCTGAGCAAGTTTTATAATGCTAACTAATTACTATGGCAAATTTATGTTCTGATTTGACAGTTATAATGGGCTAATTGAGAAGTCAGAGATAAAACCAGGGTTAAAATCTCTAGTCTGAGAATCACAGAACACAGGATCGAGATTAGCTCCCAAAGATATCTCCCCTCACTATGGTAAAGGTGTAGGTATGTAGCAGTGTGTTAGGGTGCTTGCTTTCAGGACTCCCCTAGTCCCCGGGGGGTGGCAGGGTGATGGTGGTAGTTAAGGAGAAGTGACAGAAAAAATGCTGCTTATCATCTGATAAAAGCTAGGACCACTGGTTCCATCCAATAAATAGTTATCCCCTTTTCACCTTCTGATTTTGATTAACCAAATATGTATATTGAAAAAAAATGAGAAAGGACAAAGACATAATGGATTTGATTCTATTTTCCAAAAGAAGTATAGTGTTTCCCTGGGATGCAGAAATCACTTAGTGATGACCAGATGGAGAAATACAAACATTCAGAAACAAATAAAACAATAATTTATAGCCATAAGGTAGTTATCTAAACATTCATTTTAAAGGTTATTTGTCTTACTGTTTCCTCTTTAGCAAGGTGAAACAAGGGAAAACTTTAGGGGCAAATTGCTTTCTGTGATCTGTTCTTATACCTGTGCAATTGTTTTGGAAAGGCGAGTTCTGACTGAATTGGGCAAGATAGCTTCTAAGAAAGTCAGTGGGTTCACCAATGGGTTCAATGTAAAAAAAACCCCAAAAAACCCTAAACTTACAAAGTCCTCAAATTTTAGTTTTTCCTGTCCACTGCAAACCTTCATTTGAATGTACTAGAATTACACCTTCAGCTCTCACTTTAACACAGGTAGTTTGTTTGTTATTTATTAAATACAGATGAACAACCAAACAGGGGGCAAAGCCTTGCATCCCGGGCCCCTCCCACTCTGCCCACCCTTGAAAACCCCAGTGTGAACTGAGGGAGGAGGGGCTTCCTCCTTGGCCACAGCAGCTTCCTCCTTGTCTGAGTCAGCACAAGGTCAGCTGCAAGTTCTCTCTGCCTGGCCAACTAGCCTGCAAACCAACCTCATACGTGCTTCCCCACACGACGTTAGAACAGTTCATTAGAAAAAGGCTGGGACGCTCTCAAGATATTGTGGAAACAATTTTAAAATAAGTGGATCAGTGGAGGAATCTGCACACTTGCAGCCGATTAAAGTCACTCTCAAGTTCTCATCCTGCAGGTTAAAAAGACTTAGTTGAAGATTCGGTAAAGTTACACTGTTTGGACCCAGTGCTATAAATCTGCCCGAGATCCCTCTTACCACCAAGCTGTGAGAACAAGCAGAACTTAGAGGTCGGGAGGTGAAGTTCTAGTCAGAGGCAGAGCTAATTAAACAATTCCACTGGCACTTTCTAGAGCTGAATCGGTTTTGCAACATTCTTCCATGAAAGGCAAAAGTAAGGTTAACCACCTGGAGAACCAAGGGTTACTGCCCTGGGGCATTGCACAAGCCACCCCTGCTCAGAATCCCTTTACTTTCTGTGTGTCACCATAACTGGAGGTGAGGACATTAACCTCTGGGGCCTCAATCTAGGATATGATCTGTCAACCACTTTGTCTATTCTCACACATAGATTCCAGCTTTTATTAACTGGAACATTCTCCGAGAATCTGTCACCCAAGTGCTTGTTTGTTGTAGGCCTTCCTGACCCTCTTCTCAGGAATTCTCTAATGGACTGTGACAGGGATGACCATCACCCAGAAGTAGGCCTAGCAACAGAGAAGGTAATAGTTGCCATAGTTCCTGAAAGGAAGGCACCTGGACTGGCATTTTATCTTCAAATGGCATGAAAACGATCAGTGCCAACGCAGGATGAAGCAGGCTGTACCTCAGGCCCCCTCTCCTGACAGACTCTCCTGCTGCTCCAGCCCTATCCCTTGCCCATACCAGGGAATATAAGTCACCAAGGCTGGCCAGGGTCAAAAACAGAAGAAGATATAGCCACACATTTTACCCAGCAGAGCTTGACAAACGACCCGGATACTGGTTCGCTGAAGGACAGGATCGTGAGCGTACCAGTAGCTGTTACTCAGACCAGTATGGATGCTCAAAAACTTTGCTTCTAAATAGATGCCCGAGATCAGTGTGGCCCCATGAGGGACAGGGCCATGCCCAAGGCTAGATTTCAGTGTTCCTGTGCAAAAGGGAACAACCCTAACACTCCATGAAAATTGGAGAGCACATGGATAGCTGTGCATAAATGCTTTCCCTGTTCCACTAGTGAAAGATAACACACGACCTCAAGACAGCTGACCAGGGCTAGATGTCATGGTGCTTTTTCTTGTGAAAACGATATAGGCTTGTATAGGAAATAACCCTATGGCCTTCACAGTTTCAGGCAGCTGAGCTACTGACTTTCAGGCTGTGCCTTTCATAGGAAATAAATTTTTTATTTTTATTTTTTGTATTGAGACCAAGACATCTCCCCTTCCATTCTCTTGTACTTTGATAAACAAAGACAGAAAAATAAGATGCACCAATAACCCCATCCCCCACCCCCCGCCCCCTGAACACTGAAACTGCACTAGGTAAGCAGTCACAACCAGATTATTTTTTAAAGACATGGCCATCTACCCCTTCAGCATTCCATTATCCCCTCCCAAAGCTTTGGTTGACACAGTATGAATAAAGTTGACGTTTTCCCCTTTTTACTCAGACAATAGGGCCCTTATTCCCAGCCTTAAAAGCCACTTGTACTCCTCTATTCTGTCACCACCATCTAAAACATCTTTGAGATAATTATCTGTGGATGAGGCTGCATATTATAGAAAATAGAGAAGTTGAAATGGCACAACCCCTGCTGTCTAAAAATGCCCAACGTGAAACAGAGCACCGGCCTAGACATGCCTCCACCTAGCTGTGCCACTTGGTGCCAGTCACTCAACCTCTCTGGTCTTGAGCTTTCTCCTCCGAGATCCCTATTAGCACTGACATTCTTGGTTGCTAATAATACCTGATGGTTTTTCTCTTCCCACTAACTTTCCCTAAATACCTCAACTTTACTTTTGTGGTAAGGCCTCCAGCTGGCTTGGCTTTAGTCTTGGCTTCTGGACAACCCTGCCAAATGAACCATTTCCTCTTCTCTGCACCCCAGCCCAAAGCCCTAATGCTCTCTCCTCCTGGACACTAGGTCTCCCAAGGAGGCGGGGCCACAAAAACCACAGGCTCCAACACCTTCTAGCACCTCTCCACGTCCCCAAGTCAAGTCTTTCCTCAATTTTCTCCTCTTCTGCAGGAAACAATGCCATGACGGCCCCCAGATCTTCTTGGACATTGTTTTGGGCCCTCTAACCCCTCTTTGGCAGAGTCCCACACCCCTTTCTCTGTGTTCAAAAGGGTGGCATGAATCGGGAACCAGGGGCAGGGCTGAGCGCCCAGGCTGGAAGATCCCATAGGTCACTCCCACCGGGCCCCCTCTCTGACCCTGCCCTTCTCTGTCACGCCAGACTGGCTGGACCCCACCCCCAACCACTCTGCGAGCCTCCTTCCCCTGGTCCGGCACCCACCTCTGGGACCGCGGGGCAGCCCCCTCTCCAGCTGGCTCGCTGCATCGGAGAGCCCAGAGGGAGGTGGCAGGGGAGGACGCCAGCCACCAGACTAAACTCGGTTCCTGGTGGAGGAGGAGGAGGAGGAGGAGTCCAAATTACCACACAAGGGCGGGGTGGAGGGGTAACACGGTCCGAGCGGCGCCGCGGTAGCGTCCCCGCGCGGCCGGGCCTCCTCCTTCCCGCCCAGCCAGTCTGGGGACCGGGGGCTGAGAGTGACCCGGCTCCTGGAGCCCACGGCCGCCGTGGCGCTCTAGGTCCCATCGCCTTCGGTAGCCTGAGAGACTACCAAGTGTGTTTCCTTGAGTTTTACGGGGAAACCGAGGCCCGGAGAAAGTCGAAGTGACTTTTCCTTGTGCTCCAGACCACCGCCCACCTCTGGAGACACCCTCCGAAGTGTCAGGCCCCAGGCTGGAAACGCGTTGTGCCAGGTTCGAACCAGAAACAGGGAGCAAGGGTATCTGGGGTCCCTGCCCCAGACCCCTGCCCCTTCCCCCCGGACCCCCTCGCGGCTGGAACCGCATCTCGGTGGAACACGTGGGTCCTGCCCCACCCCTAGTCCCTGAATTAATTGCTCTTCCCACGTGGAAGCAACAGCTTCCTGGAGCCAGTTTAGCGTGTTCCACTCCTGGAGTTTCACTGCAAGTTGGACGGAGAAAGTGTAGATGGCAGGAACCTAGGAGTGTCTGCACTACGCGCCCCTCGTCGCGGTTTCCGCGGCCCCGCACTCGGACTCCAGGGCTTGGGGAGGACGTACCTGGTAGAGTTCATAAGCCCTGCAGTGCAACGGCTCCAGCCGGCTGCAGCATCCGCGCGGGGGTAGCAGGGGCAGCGGGGGCCAGGACTCAGGTCCGCGCCCTCCGCTGGCAGCCGCATCCGTCCGTGCGCAACAGCAGCCCGCTTGCCTCCTCCCTGTGGTCCGCTACCCGGGATTCCAGCTACCCGCCGCCTCGCTGCTCCCTTTAACTTTTTGGCCACCTCTCCCGGCTTGGGATGCCATCCCAGACCCCCTTTCACGTGAACGCCCCCCGCAACCAATGGGCGTGCCCGGGCTGTGGACCAATGGCCGAGGAGCTGTGGGTCCGGAGAGCCACCGCTCCTCCACGTGATCGGCTGAGAGCCCGGAGTGTGGGGCTGCAGTCCAGAGGCTGGGAAGGGCGGCGGGTCATTATTTCATCAGAAGCCCGGGAATGGGCGCCAGGGGGCAGAGGCACTTTCCTACAGAAGAGCATCCCACAAGCGTCCCGCTACGTACGCCAAGCCCTAGCCGGCAATGCCTTCCTGTCCCACAGGCCCCACCTTCCTCTACACTTGAGCTAGGGGTTCACAGATGAAAATGACCTCCGCTACCACCTGCGGAGCCCCGAGAAGCCCTGAGAGAATACTTGCCTTTCCCTCCGATTTAGGTGGCGTCTCTATGGGATAGGTGTTCCCAGCTCCTGAGATAGTGTCAAAACAATTACTGATCGCTTGTTTTGTGCCGCCATGGTCCAGGGGTTACAGTGAAAGGAATACCGTAAGATTCTTTTTATAAAGTTGTTACTGGGGCAAAGGACCAATATTCATCTCACAGAGTACAGCATATATATATATGGTTGTGGGTTTATCATGTTAGGTATATTTTGAAGGACTTGAATCTATTCTAAAAATGACCTGGACCTAACAGGGCCTCCATACTCTCTAGGATGCATCTTGAGGTCTGTAGAGAATGATGAGCTTAGAAGAGACCATAAACCATATGAGATCGATTTAAATATATATTTTTAAAGTCATACGTATGATCTCCTTTGTGATCAGCTTTGAGCTAGTCACTTTAGGGATAAGGATCCTGGTTTTCTAATTTTAATGAATTTTGGAAGTTGATATAGGATTACCAGCTTTTTAAAGTGCCAAGTAAACACATTAGAACAAAACCTTACCATCGTCTGTTACCATCATTTTATTAAAAAAATTCTCTTTAACAGCAATAACAACAAAATGCAGGAAGGACATAATCTCAGAGTAAAGGCCACTGGATACATTTAGCTTTATGAAAATTCATTATGTTGAATATGGTATTTGGGAATTTCTGCTTTAAGAGATATAATAACACATTCTATTTTTTTTTACTTTTAAAAATACTGTTTTATTTATACTCATGTATAAAAATGGTTGTACTGTCATGTTTACATACGTACCAATATTGAAAACAGAGTTTGATTATGAATCACATCTAACTTTTATAAAGAACACACAAACATTAAAACACTGATTGGTTATAGAAAGTAGAGTAGGGAAAAAAAACATTAGCTATTATTTTAATTTTCATTGAAGAGCAGCACCTTCTAAGGAGAATCAAATTAATCAAAGGAACTCTAAGTGGTCACAATAATTTAATACAGGCCTCCTGCTCAGAGAGCTTCCCCAGACATAGTCTCCCTGTCTGAAGGGTGGTTAGTTCTCTTCTCTTTTAATAGGCAAATCTCATAAAGGACCACCTATGAAATCAGCTATTGGTAGGTGGTTGGCAAATAAAGTTTCTATGCAATATTCCCTTTCCCAACTCTAACTCCCCTTTTATTAGCTGATGAGTGGATTGGAGATGTATTAAGCCAAGTGTTGGCTCCGCTTCTCAAGTGTAGTGAGCATGCTAGAAGAGTGGGCAAAGATAAAGAGCCAACAGGTCTTGCAAAATGTGTCCAGGCAAAGGGTGATCTGAACCAACCTGGGAAGAAGTTGGGACAAGTAAATACAACTTTATAGCATTAGGGTTTGGAAGCATCTTCCTTACATAGATCGAGGAAACCATGGGTAATAATTTCCCCTGCGGTTTAGATGACTATTTCAGACCAGGAGTGTGGGGCTAAACTTAGTTGTGGCACACCACAGTCTTGGTAGGTAGGAGTGTGGCGTCTATGAGTTTGAAAAGAGCACAGTCTCCTTTGCGATCAGAATAGAATTGGGGTGCAAGCTCTGGAGGACCGTTCCAGCAGAATTCATAGCAGCTCCAGAGCCCCAGAACCTGACAGCTAGACTGGCCCCTGGACAAGATCTTGCCTCACCCTTTCATTTTATAGCAGAAAGTAAAAATGGACAATTACAACCGTTTAGTCAATGCAAACCAAGTTTCTTTTATAATATCTGGTATTTTAGTTATAAATTTCATTTAATAAACCAGCTCTCCCACTCCCCACGCCCCCAGAAATAAACCAGAAAGATTAGCAGTGGCTAAACATAGCTAATTATCATTTTCCCATAAACTTCTCCTTCTTTGCATTCATTAGTGGTAGCACTGTCTTCTTCCTTGCACGCAGGCTGGTCAGTGACCCCTTCAGTCCTCTCTTCACCATTTGTTCATTCATTAAACAATGCATTGAGTAACTACTGTAAATCTGGGTGCTAGAAATGGAAAAATGAAATATAATCTTACTCTCAAGAAGCTCTTACGTTAAATAATGAAGTGGGATAAATATATGGAAGGTAAATCTGTGTTTTGAGAGCTAAGAGGAAGACTGTGCATGTGTGATAGTGGAGGTGGGGGTGGGGAGTGGAGCAAGTCAGAGAAGGCTAGTAGAGAAATGACCATTGAGCAGTATCCTGAAGGGGGAGTTAGAGTTTAGGGGTGTGATAGGAGAGAGCATGGCAGGAATTGGCAAAGATGCAGAGTACTCTACGTTCCCTGAAGAATTTTTACTCTGTTGATTAAAAATTAAGTCCTCTTCCTGACTTAACTATTAGACAGCGTTTCTTTATGCATGTGTTAACATTAACTTTTTGCTCATTCAGAAAGTTTTAAAAAATATCGTAAATGACTTTCCTCCTTATCAACATATTTCAAAAACAGTAAAAACCAAGCTCCTATCTTCATTCACGATTTTAGAAATCTGTTTTTCTTTCTTACAGTTATAACATTGTTTCTGTTTGAATAAAAAGTATTGCAGAGTGAATCTAAATAAAAATAAACAGCACCAAGAGTCAGAGCTAAAGAAGAGAACATTCTTGTGCCTGGTGAGAATAGAAAGGGGGAAGACTGTTTCCAAACTGCCTGAGTTGGTTTATATTTAGACAAGTGGAGTTGTTTGCACCTGTCAGAGCTGTGGACTTGTTCTGGGCGCATCAGGTTACCTGGGGCCCTCTGCCCCTCTTTCAGATTTGACAGAAAGTGACTTGCTAGATCATGTCTTATGGGATAGGCAGATGAATAGCAATCGAGGGATTCTGTAAGTTTCTGTCTATGGAGGATGTGTGCTTAGCATGGGAGAAAACTTTGAGTGGTTTACACATCAAAGCTCTTAGAGTCCATCTGGGTCTTTTCCTCACTGTTGAGGGCTTTTGAGTTCCTGGGTGAGGTTGATCTAGGCACCACTCTTTTAAAAAATCATATATAGAGCAGCATTTATTTCACAGCTTCATACCTTGTGCAGTGCTTTATATAAACTTGATATGATATCTTTAATTTGTATTTTTAAATTATTTTTATGATTATAAAACAAATACAAGCTCACTGTCGACATTGTGGAAAATACAGAAAATGTAGACATGAAAATAGAATCAGCACCACCCAGCAATAACTACCAGTATAATTCACTATCTTTTCTTCTATTTATTCTAGTATTTAGTCTATGCACAAACATTATAGTATCACCATCATAGTATACATAAAGTTTAATTTCTTATTTTTTTTAACTCATGACTCTTCTTGTTTTGAGTATATTAGTATTATTATTATTTTTTGGACATACTTTTTAATGACCACATAATATCCCTTCATACAAAGAGAATGTACTTTTTCTTATTGTGGGGCACTTAGATTTTTCCCCCCAAAATTTTCTCGACTGTAAATACACTTTGATAAGCATCTTTATGTTTTTTGGGGGAGGGAGGGGAAGGAGTATACACTTCAGAATTTTCCAGTCTTGACATGGCTTCTCCTTTATAGTGTTAGTTATAGGGGTTCTGTTCAGCTAGTCTTCAAATGGTTCTCCAGGTTGATTGTTCTATAATTTAGTTATAATTTTGATGTGGTCGTGGGAGGAGATGAGCACAGCATTTACATACTCTGCCATCTTGACTAGAACCCTGATTATTTCTTATAACCCTGTTTCCCACAGAATATAGACCTTCTTTAGACTCTTGATTTATATTACCAAATTGTTCCCAGAAGAATTAGTATTGACCTTTTATTCCCACTACTGGAGAAAACTAAGAGTTAAGTAATCCTAATAAGGTCCTGGTTTGTGGACTTTGGGCAAATTATATACCTCATCTTACAAAAAAAAAAAACAATGAGAATTTTGACCAGTGAGCCATATACTCTGTACCTGGGTGAAAATAGCTGCATTCCTCATCTTTTGCTTTAGCTTTGAATCTCAAAGTACATAGCCAATCTGTGTTATGAATGGGGGCTTCATAACCCATATTATTGACTTAAATGATATTAAGTGGTGCTGGTGAGAGAGAAGGTGGAGGGACTGGGAACAAGGGAATACCGCTTTGCCACAGGCTTAAAAGGAATTAGGCAGAATCCAGTATATATTTATATTCTTTGGTTATTCATCCCCTGTTCATGACTGGTGTGGTCATAAATTATATTTAAACATGTAACTATATACATATGACGCAATGTATAGCATCCAGAATTGCACGACAAGTGGCATGCATTTTTGTGAGGAGAACAGCATGTCAGGCTGCCTTTAGGATCGGGACAGACCACTTGGCTGTTGCATGCCTTGTACCTTAGGTCTGGGCTGTTTCTGCTGCGCGCCTGGAGGCAAATGCTTCAGATCCAGCTAGCATTTGGGGGCTTTGTGTAAACAATTGTATTTCAGCCGGTTCTATCCTGATATTTACAATGCTTCCTGGATCATACGCTTAGACACAGGCGATGATATAATTCGTATTAAGAAAACAATGACTCACTTGAGGGATGAGGTAAAAACTAAGTATTTATGTACAGTGATTTCTAAGTGTGTGCCACTATGGTTTCCAGCAACCTTTCATTTTCTATCACTCCTTTTT